CTTTCCCTGTTTGAAAAGCGCATGATGTCCTGCCGAGAGCGACAACCCACCTTACAATCATGGCAATAAGACTGAAGCTTTCAGCTCCTCTGTGCAAGTCCAGTAAAATGTTTTCCAAAACCTTTTTATGTCCTTGAGTTTGGCTGTTAAACTTGTTGGCAGTTACGGCTGGATCATAACAACACATGCTGGGCTGCAAGGCCTGAAAAGAATATTTGGTTCACCTAGCCCAGTGGGCTCCAACTTTCTAACCGCAAGATCACTTTTTCAATTTAAGTGCAATGTAAGAGTTACCTCAGACCCAGATAGGGCCTAGGTGGGAGGGAGTGCAGGAGAGGGCTGGGGGTTTCAGGGATCTGTGAGGGTGGTAGGATGCAGGAGTGGGCTAGGAGTGGGGGGTCTGGGCAGGAGGGGGGTGCAGGAGCAGTGTGGGGTTGGGGGCCTGGAAGTGTGTTAAGGGTGCAGGCGCAGGCTGGGGGTGGAGTAGCAAAAATGTTCATGGGAACATCTGAGGGGGGAAAAATCCCTTTGATGCAGCTTTGTCAATGCAGCTTTCCCTAAGATGAGTTTGGCTTTTAGGAACCTGTCATTTTACCAATAAAGTAAATTATCCAGAAACCAAGTCGTTTTCTGTAGTCTCTCAAAAGTACCAGGAGCACGCGGCTCGCTGTACCAATGGCAAAAAGACTTGAGAGGCGTCCTAGACGTTAGAGATGAAATTCCTCCCCTGGAATACTGTGTTCCGTTCTCGTCACTCTGGCCCAGATATTCAAAAATATTTAGGTGCCTAACTCTCATCTGTGGGACCTGGACCTTTGAGGATTTGGGCGTCTGTTAACAGGAGGCTGGGCCCTAGGCAAGCTGGCAAGCCTGGAAGCCATGCTCCCAGAAGGTGTAGGGCCTGGGAGGGGGCAAGGGGCAGCCAGCCTTCAGCACGGCCTGGAACATGCTGTGTCCACTGCCCCGCCTCCAGAGCTGCCCGGATGCTCTGCACAGAATTCTAGCTGCAGCCAGGAGCCCTTTTAAAAGCTGGTCCCTGGGGAGTTTCCTGCTTTAGCTTTCCCTCTGTCGGCAGCCCTGGCTGTTTCTAGGAGGGTATAACAAAAATAGAAAGGCAACTAAGCGATCAGCAATGGCAAAAATTAAAGGTCTGGAAAAACTTCCATCTGCAGCCAGATTGAAATGACTGGGGTTGTTTACTTTAGAAAGGAGACCAATGAGCCAACACAATAGAGGCCAATGAAGTACTGAATAGTGTAGATAAGAGCAAGGAGGAGTTAAAGACCTTAGAGACTAACAGATTTTTGTGGGCAGAAACCCACTTTGTATTTTCCATTCCATGCGTCTGATGGAGCCAGGCATAAATATACTAGCATATGAGAAGAAGGGTTGCAGACTAACATGGCTACCCTGCTGATACTTGTCAACAGTATAGATAAGGTAGATAAAGCACCTCTGTTCACCCTATCTCATGTTCAGTGAAATTGAGAGGAAGCAGATTTAAAATGGATGAAAGGAACTATTTTTCACAGAATACATATTTAGCCTTAGGAACTCATTGCCACAAGATATCACGAGGCCAAGAACATAGCAGGATTCAGAAACGGATTGGACATGTATATGAATAACATATCCAGAGTAGTTATGACTTTTTAAAAATCTGAGAGTTTTGCAAGGGAATAAAATCCCTTCCCTCA